TGCTGATACTGTCCTCCCTGGTACCACTGAGAGCCACCCACTGGAGCTGGAGGATACGGCATATAGCCGCCCGAATACTGAGGATAGCCACCCTGAGAATAGGGGTCCTGAGGGTACTGATACTGCCCCGGAGCATAAGGGACAGCATCACCCTGATATTGGTAAGCACCACCTCGACCCTTCTGGCCGTAGCTACTAGGACCCTGGATCTGCTGGAGTGGTGCAGGTGGTGGCATAAAGGCCTGCTGCGGTTTCTGCTGCTGCTGACCCTGGGGACAATTCGCCGCTCTATGTCCCACCTGTCCACACGTGAAGCAACCACTGCTACCACGTCTACACTCGCCGAAATGCCGGTTGTTACACCTACGGCAAACTGGGGCTCTGCCTCGCCCACCATCGCCCTGCCTCTGGCCTCTGGCGCCACCAGAAAATCTACCTCCACGACCCTGTCCAGTGGCACTGAAGCCACCACTCGAAGAACTAGAACTAGCTCCACCTCTCTTGAAGTTCTGGGTCTGACGGGGCCCGAGCGATGCCTGACCCTTACCCTTGTCATCCTTCTTCTGGTTGCCGTCCTTCTCTTCATCACTGTCGCTCGACATATTCTCAGAGTCCTCGATCCTCAACAGTATCTCATAGAAGTCCTGGTAAGTCTCGCTGTGGACAGCAGTCGCCATAGAACGCCATCTCTTCCTGGTGCCCAAACGGAAACGACGGAGCATTTTTGCTGGATTACCAGCAACATCAGGATGGTAGCGGGACAGATCAGTAAACTTACGGTAGTACTCATTCGCCGACATCTTCCGCTGCTTCAGTTCGGTAAACTCCTGCTTCTTCCTATCGATGTACTCAGGGGGCACATATCTCCTCTTGAACAAATCCGTAAAGGCATTCCAATCCGTCCTCTGATCTGGAGTCAACCTACAAAGCTTCTGCTCCCACCAAGCTGCAGACTCCGTATCCAGAAACCACGAGGTCGTCTCGACCCACCTCTCCATAGGCAAGTTCCCCTGATTATGCAGCACACGGAAAGTCTTCTCTATGTGTTCCAGCCAGCGCTCTGCGCCCTCATGCCCCTCACTGCCCTTAAACTTATCTAACTTCAGATTGTACATAGTCTCCAGAGGAGTCCTCTGGGGAGGGCGCATCACTGACTGAAGGGCTGTAGCAAAAACCTCCCCCAACTAAGCAACATCGGGGAAGCTAGACTCAGAAGTACGACGTGGTTCCCGACGAGGCGGCATAATTCTGACAGAAGACACCAAAACCATTAGAATACTCACAAGGACACAGGACTGCCAAACCTAAGCTCTGATACCAAACTGACACACCCCGACCGAGGTCGGAGCGTGCTGGCCGTCACACTAAGGTGACGTAGCCATGTGCACGTGCGGAAGCTAATAAAGTAGTAATTTAAAAGTACGAAATAAAATAAAACTAGCATACAAAGTACTAAAACAAGTGCTAGTAAGTGAGATACAATTTCAAAGCAGGTCTACAGCAGCCCAAAGGAAAAGTTGCGAATAAAAGTACACTCGAAGGTGACCCTACGCTGGTGAGTATCTGTCAGAAAAGCCGGAAGAATCCTCTGGGAATACCACCGAAACTGCTAATCTACTAGAACCTGGAGGGGCGCAAAACAAAAGCGTGAGTGGGCAAAAACAAATCTTTCGAAAACCATTTATAGAAATACTTTCTAACCCCTCGCCGTAAAACCTGTATACTTCCTAGAAAATAAACATGTATACGTATGTATAAATATGCCAAACATGCTCAAAGGTATGTCAATCATGATCGATAATATGCCATGCCGAAATCTCACAACGATATGCAAGTGCCCAGGTATAAACATATCAATATCATAACATCTGGCAGCCGGAGTCACCTAGCGTGACCTGTACGGCTGCATCTAGAGCTCAAATCTCAATCTCAATATCTGAACCTGCCCACGAGTCAGAACCACCTAAAGTGGTCTGTACGACAGGCCTGGGTGTAACATATATATACGCTCTAGTGCTACGATCATGTGAAGGCTGTGCGAATAATCGCGGGTCACCTACGAGTCGGAACCACCTAAAGTGGTCTGTACGACAGGACTGTGCACCTAACTTGGATCCAAGCTGAGCGTGTGGTGCGGGAGGTGAACATCACGTGAAGGACTGTGCCCTACTCTGGGCGGGAGCACTAACACCGGGGGTGCAGGTTATGAGCTCTCTAATCATCTCAAACTACTGCTGAATGTAAATATAAATACCACTTACCTGACACTTACCTGTGCGTCCACAGCACCCAATATGCATATGTATAAATATATGCAACTACTAATATAACCATCGATGCAAGAATAATGATGAAGTAATGCATGGCATAAACTAATAAACATTTATTAAATTCTGGGAAAAATATAGTATATAGGTATATATGGAAAACAAAAGCCCACTCACTGGTACGTGGAAGGGTCGTAGCCCCCCTGCCTCGAGTGCGAACGCTCTTCCTCGGGGTACGTGTCACCTATATGCGAAATAACTATAAAAATGTTAACTTTAAAGCACATAATCAACTTCTCGTAATAACTTCTCATACATTGCTCAAAATAGACAATTGAATATACCAACGCGCTCTACACAACCTCAGGATCATAACCATATTTTTAGAAAAATTTTCCTCCGCCGCACGCGCCCCCACGCGCCGGCCAAGGCACGGCCACACGCGCCGGCCACGCGCAGGCACGTGTGGCGCACACTGACGGCGTCAACTGACGCCGTTAGGAATATTCCGTCAAAACTGACAGATTCCATTAACGGCATCAGGAATATTCCGTCAGAATTGACGAAATATTCCGTCACCTTCTCCGTTCAGTCTCCGGCGACGTCGCCGGCGCCGGAAATTGGAAAAACCTGCAACTTGGGTTTTCTCGCTCATTTTTCCACCATTTTTCACGTTTCTTGCACCAAATTAAACCTTAGAACTAGTAGAACACGTCCAAACAAGTTTTAAGGTCTAAAACTACAAGATTATACCTGTCCAAAAACTCCAAAATCGGCCAAGCTCGAACCAGGCTATTCTGACGTCCACTTCCGTCCAACGATACACTCCGAGGTTCCTTGGGACCTCACAAACACAACTACAAGCTTCAAAAGTCCAAAAACATGCTAGAATAAGTTTGCATGAATAGTAACTAAAACGGACTTCGTCGAATCGACGTGAAAACGGCTACAACCTTACCTGAAAATGGTATGGCTGTGCTCGCCTCGACCTCACGAGTCCAATGGTACCCTTAGTTTCTTCGATATGTGAGGATTTGGTGGGTTATGGGTTTGTCCGTACGTAATAAGGTGAGAACGAGAAGGGAGAGAGAGAGATGAGAGACAGAGACAGAGAAAGGGTAGAGAGAGACAATGAATGTGCAGGTGTGTGTGTGGCCCAACACATGCCACAATACACAAAACAACCAACACACGTGACGAAAATGAACTAGGGGCAAATAAGTAATTTCACACGTGCGATCTAAAAATCCCGGGACGGGATGTCACAATGTTCGTGCATCATCACTTCTTTTAAATGTTGACAGTTGAATATTCCCTTTCTATTAGTGATTAGTACATTATTATTATTTCGTTAAAGTTTGTATTCATTTTATCATTGGGTGGTTTCGGCGAAAATTTTATATGCATGGTTTACATGTTCTTGGCATATGTATAATTAAAGGGAACTTTAACGAAAAGCTCTCGGTACTGTTCATTTAAACAAAAAACCACATTTTTACACTAAAAAGCTAATCCTGATACTATTCACTTTACCCTTTATTTTGTTATTATCGTTAAAATTCAAAGTTTTCAAGCAATTTTCATTAATTTTCCTATAATTAAATAGCTTTTGTCACCCTTGGGTGTCGGTCAGCACGTGGCCAAGGGCGGATTCACATAAGGACCTGGGAGGTCCCAGGACCCATCGCCAATCCTAAATCGCTGCTATAAATTTTCCGGGGACCCCTTATACTCGAGCATGAGGTCTGTGCAGGTTGTAGGTTGCAAGTTGCAGTGGTTATCTTCTTCTCGGAGAAAATGACCGCACACGGAGAAGAAAGAAAATAGGGACCTTTCCTGCCTCTCTCCTCCTTGCTTCTACCATGGTCTCATTCATCAGTGCCACCCACTTCTCCTCCAACCTTTCTCTATCGTCTAGCGGGGGCAGTACATAAGCCCAAATTTTTCCAAATTATTTCAACCATCTTAGTAATTTTTCTTATGGGTGAAATTTCCTTCATAAGGTTAGTAAGATGGATATGATCTATAATGGGTTGGTGAATTTTGGAGGTGGAGCTGCCATGGCTTCGAGAGAATGGGGAGGGAGGCGGTTGGTGGAGGTATGACACTTTATTCTTAGTGAGAGAGAAAGTGGATGTTTGGAAACTAGTAAAAGAGAAAAATGGTGTGTTTGGTTAGAAAGATAGTGAGAGTTTGGGGAGAGTTTTATTTGACCGGTGTTTTAAATTTAGTGGTTCATATTAGATAATCAATAACTTAGGTACTCCCTAGTAACTTATGAAACCTCGTAATGGACGCCTGAATTATGTTTTTATAATTTGTAATATTGCTTTGCATATGATTTTTGAATGAAATGTATTATATTTAAATTTTCAATGTTATTTTTGTCTATAAATTTTTTGACCTTTATAATTGGGACCCCTTGAGTTTAAAATTCTGGATCCGCCACTACACGTGGCCATCTCGGTGTCATTGGAAACCGGGATTGAGGTGTGTCAAAATTTCCATAAATGACAAGTTATATACAAGTTTGGGAAGAATGTGTTTTCTTCATGACTAATCTATCGCCTCAAATTTAAATAAAATATGCAGATTGATACTCATTTTTTCATTCATTATTTCATTAACTCTAATTAGTTATCCAATTCAATTAAATCCTAGATATCAAATGAGAAGGGCAAAAAGGTAAAACCCATCGTACCATTCCACAAAAATGGTTTTCGCAGTTGCAAATGAGAACAATAATACACAAACGAGGTGTGTTTCATCCATTTATAATTTGTATGGTTCATTATCAATTTACCAAAAAAATAGTCACTGTGGACTTGGCCGGTACACAAGGATTGGATTGGATTGGACTGGGACCTGGGTGTGTGCTGTTAATTGCAGTCTAATCCGCATTCCTCCAGGGTTGGGTCATCTGACTTGGCCAAGAACGGATTAACCCGAACCCATAAAAGCGAAAAGATGGAAGCCAGCATTATTGACCACACTATAATGATTGTAGGAGTCCTGTTCTGCCTACCAAGCAGACCCTTGAGGAAAGGATAGAGGTGAATGATCACCCAGAACGCAAACAAGAGCTTACCTAACAGTGGCCCCCATGACTCATAACCGTTGTTTATTGCATTCGACACTCCGGCAACTACTCCGATCAAGTTTATAATAAGCAACGTCGTTGGTGGGATGAGCAATGTGGTCCACTTAAATGCATACAGCTCTGAGAAATCTGCGTCGTCCCCAGCTTTTGATGTCACCGTAAAGTTTGTATCAACGCCGGCTAGCACCTTTAGAATCCCTTGAAACACGGCAAACAAATGCGCCGACACCCCACCAATCACCCAAAACTGCTCATTTCTCCACCATTCGTCGATGCCAACTCCACTCCATCTCATTTCCAATACGCTCGTTGTAAAAATGCAGATAAAAAGAGACAGAAACCACAAGCTAGCCACATTGTTGAGCTGCACACAAGTAAAAAAATCAACATTAGATGCATATATCATCGCCTAGGCAGGCAAGCCAACAAGTAGATGAGGTCGGTTTGATCCATCAAACTGTATGTTTATACCTCTGGAGTGATGAACTTTCCTGTTAGCAGACATACAGCAGGTAGAGTGCAATAAGCAAGAAGTGGAATTGATGTCCATGGGTACACAGTAGCGTTTATGTAAGACAGACGCTCCAACCACTTCAGACCCCGTCCATACCCATACCAGAGAGGGCAATGCCTGCTCAAGAATATTTCAATTGATCCAAGGGCCCACCGAAGGACTTGGTGCAAACGATCGGAAATATTAATGGGGGCTGATCCCTTAAATGCCGGCCTTGCAGGGATACAGTATATCGATCTCCAACCGTGACAATGCATTTTAAAGCCTATCAGGATATCCTCTGTAACTGAACCGTATATCCAGCCGACCTGGATTGGGAGGAAGCGTATTGAGCAAGCAAAGAGAAAAAAAGGGCTATACGGTTAATCAACTCATGAATTGGATCACCATCTTACCTCCTTTCCCCATTCTGTTTTATCTTCATAGCCACAACTAATTACATGGATGGCTTCTTTAAGCAGAGATGCTGGCCTAGTGCTTTTCAGAGTCCCGCCATCCTCCAGCAAGGTGGATGCAACAAACACCGGAGACTGCCCAAATTTCTTTTTCAGCTCATCATCAGACATTAGAGTCAAGTTTTCAACTTCAACACCTGAAGATAAGATGTTCTCAAGTCAAAAGGAAAACCGAGATTGGTGGGAAACAAGGAAAACTTAGGTTTATCTATATCCATAATACATAATAAAGAACCTATCTCCACAAAGGTAGCAAGTGTTCATCTGCCAACAACGCTGGCAGAAAAGATAATATCAAACCTTCCCTAGTTTAAGGAATACAAATCAATCATGACTTATAAAGTAGATTTTCACACACATTTTCCTAAGTGAGCAGTACTGAAGTTTGTCCTTTGCATTTGCACATGCTGGATGTACACACATTGCATTTCATAATCCTGAAGTATAAAAACAGACAAGTAAATACCAAAGACGGATTTGAAGCTTGGTGAAAAGTGCAGATTGTAAGTAACCAATTGAAAACAGAGTTAAAAATCTATGCTTTTGCAATGGTGAGATATTTTCACAAAGGAGTCTAGTGCAGTACGCATCCACAGTATAAAGTATGCCATTAAAAAGAACTTATTTATTTTCCCTCATACTGTGGAAGGCAAGGGATTACGTTTATTGTTCTCTTCGACACCCTCCTGATCAGAGACATTTATCAAAACTATTGTATCTTCCTTCCTGGAATTTCTCTTCTTCTTTTCAGTCTTGGGTTTATTGGCCTTCTGCTTCCTTTTTCCAGAAAAACAGTTTCCGCAACAGCACCATTTTGGCAAGCAGTTGCATGTCCTAGTTGGTGGCTTTTTTGTTTTTGGAGCATCATAACCATAGAGAGCCTGCCTTCTGAAGACACATCCAGTCCCAACATAGATAGGCCCTTGGATCCCATCCAAACCTTTCATGTTAATCTGTTATTGGTGATGATGACTTAGATGTTAACTTTGAAATAGAAGAAAAATGAATGGAAAAAGCAACAAAGCAATCTCACTGTCTACAGATACTTACATCAAAGAACACTCTGTTTCTGTTGGCATATCTGTCATGCCTATCAATACCATCGAATCTTTGTGGGAACTGGACATAGCACACTCTCTTTCCTAGCAACGGATCCATCATGAAACACATTGATTCTCTAAGAGCCTTACTATTATTGATGTAGTGATCACAATCCAAGTTCAGCAAGTAAGGTGCATTTGTTAGAACAGCAGAGACTCTTACCTGTTTTGACATACAAGATGACAAGAAAATGAAACTCCAGAGTAAAAAAAAAGGGGGGGGGCGGGAGAGAGAGAGAGAGAGAGAGAGAGAGAGAGAGAGAGAGAGAGAGAGAGAGAGAGAGAGAGAGAGCACATAGTTCTATCAACTGCTATCGATGTGGAGCTCAAGAAGCCTCTCTTTCTCCCTTTCAATTTACTTACCAAAGCATTCATTGCTCCAGCCTTTTTGTGGTGATTAAACCCATGTCTTTTTTCTCTAGAAACATATACCAGGCGTGGTAATTCTTTCTTATCTGTCTCATGTCTTCCACTTTGGCCAAGAAAAACCTAAAAAGGTGCATATAACTGTTATATGCCAAAGTGCATTACAACTTTACATGCACAATAAAGAAATCAAATTCCCATGTGACATACCTGAATCATCCCAGGATGATCACGAACATTATTTCCAGGCCATGGAGTTCCATCCTGCATTGTCCATCCTTCTTCTGGAACCTTCTGAGCTTTAACAACCAATGCATTTATTCGAACTTTGAACTCTTCATACTCTCTCTGCAAAGATAGTGACAAGAATATATACTATGTTCTCTGCAATGAGTGATGAGGAAGTATCCACTGTTAGTAACCCTCATTACCTTCATTGCTCTTCGTTCTTTCACAAATGATGGAAGCACCTTATCTTTTAGATAATCTATCTTTTCTGCAAAATACCATTCAGGTGCCCGTGGTTCTATGCTAAACTTCTTGCAGAAAGGGACCCACTTCCTAGCAAATTCTGATGTTTCTGACAGTGCCTCGAATGTCAACATAGATGCACCATCATCCGAAACATAACATGACACCTTGTCAACAGGGTAGTCCACTGCTAGAATAGAAAGTACAGTGTTTGCAGTCACCAAAGGAGGCTCCTTCAGTGGATCAACTGTACTGACATAAATATCAACTGGACAAAGTTGTGAAGGTTGGCCTTCCTTCTCGTACCTGGAAAAAGGAGAATTAGCATGAATTGTGATAACGTTCACAGTCGGACCAAAAGGAAAGTTACATTAACATGTGATAATCAAATGGCTTACCTTAGGGATAATCTATCCAGATAAGTTTCTCTATCAATGGGAAACCACTTTGGGAACTGATCAAGAATCCATGAAACAGCAAACCAAATCTCACAAATTACTGAGATGAGCCACAATGCATATGCATCATTTACAGGATGCATGACCCGATAATGAAAGAAGAATCCAAGAGCAACAAGTCGAATAATGATGATCATTCGATAAGGGTTGATTTGTCCCGATGGAATAGGCAACTTTCTTGACAAGGGCTGTCTTGCCTCATCCATTCTGATCCATGAGTGGCACAAAGAATTTTCATTGATCAGCAATCCTTGGATATTTCAAACACTACGGTATTGGAAATATTAAAACTAACTTTATAGTAGAGAAAATCGCGTAACTAAAATGTTTAAATGCAGCAAGTCACAACCTCAAAAGACATGAGCAATGCTGCATGCATAGGAGCACTTACAGTGGTAGATCAGGGCCATTGTCATTCCCGTCATAGTCCCAATCTTTGGCACCATTTTCATGTTTCATCATCTGTAATTTCTCTTGTTTTTGGTTCCAACTCTCCATCCTCTCCTTCCAAGCAACACTACCGTAGCCATAAGCAGCCATGTCTTTGGAAGGATCCATGGCTCTGGGTTGTACTGCAAAAAAGGTAGATGTGAACCCATTCAAGCTAACAAATAGAGGATGAGTACCCAAGATGGGTAAGTGTGAGAGTAAGGTGATTAATTTGGGGCATGTGAATTTCGTGAGGAGTAAGATATTTACCTAGAAGGACATGGTCTGAGGAAAGAATGGGGTGGTTCCTTTTTCCTCCAGCAGCAGTTCCCATGAAAGAAGGGATCAAAGCATGTTGTTCAAGAGGGATATCATGATCAGCCTGCGTGAAAAACTCACAACCATTAAAAGAAAAAAGCAAACAACTAAAGAAACAAGGAAAGAAAAAAGAGTGGTACAGCCGTGAAGTATGGATCAATGAATTAAGAAAGCAATTTTACACAATTGAGCGAATTCAATTGAATTTGTGAGTACCATTTGACTGTTAGTAAGGAGTGGAAGTTGGGACATGGGATGAGAGAAACCAGAGTCAGAAGCGCAACCATAGCTCATGTGGCCGTCTGCAGAAAGCGCATGTTGCATATCTTGTCTGCTCCTTGCATCAAAAGTGAATTCGTACTCGAGGTCATCGATGCCATCTTCTTCTTCATCACCTTGGACCCTGGCACACCCTGCCGGCCAAAAAGAACATCGGTGAGACTAATTAAATAAACTGATAAAGTTGTATAAATGATTTAATTATTCAGCAATGGTATAGTACTAGAAGTAGTAATAGAACTGGTTTAGCGTTTAGGTAATAGGTATCCACCCTTAAGCCTTTTGAAGCGGGTCTTGCACTTAGGACAGAGTTGGGTACCCTCACTGCGCTCGTATTCATAGCAAGTTGGGCATATGGGAAAGGCACACTCGTTACAGGCGACGAACAGCTCCCCGTCTGCAGTTAGGCCTACATCGTCTTCACAAATCTGGCAAATCTGCCCCTTCAACACTTTGGCCTGTACAATAGCAGAACCAACACATGCCGGTTGATTGCCGACCAAATAGTACAAATACAACGAGTCATTCGTTCATTCATCTATAGGTCATATTAATTTGACAATAACATAGTTCATCAGTGAACGAAAGAAATGATTAAGTCATAAATTAGCAATGAAAACATGCATGTATAAATATGAAAGTGAAGTAGGAGGTAGCAGGTAGGAAGAGGGAGGGAGGGCAAAGAGCATTATTTACATTTAGAGAAGATGATTCCCCATCATGACGTTCACGATCACGATCACCGCAGATGACCACAAGTTTATTCAGGTTGTGAGATCCCGCAACTAAACCACCACTTACCTCCATTTCAGATCGAAATTTAGAATTTGAAAATTGAAATATTGCTGCTCTGCTGCTACACTATTACGCACTATACTATCAGGCCGATGGTAGCTAACTATAGATAGCTACTTTAGTTGATGTCTGCATTTCAATTATAAATGCAGTAATAATCAACCGCTCATCCTTTTTGAAGTGACTTAATCAGAAAGAAATCATATAAAAATTAAATAAACAAACAAAATCTCCCTCCCTCAGATCCTTATACATGGTTACTCAACCAGTTAGCAACCATGAAGACATGAACTCAATCTCTTCTTCTCCTTGGATGGTCTTGGTGGATCATGTTAATTGTTGTGGGATAAGTTGTCTTCATCGTCTTATCAATATCTCAGCCGCCACACACAGCCCATAGCGAGCCTCATACACTCATACTTCTACAGTAGTACTATTCCTAACGGTAACAACTAACAACTGAGTCTGCCTGTTCAAAACTAAACGAAACTGTGAGCGTGAGTGAATATTGATAATCGCATTCGCCCGGCATCAGCTGCAACATTAATAAACCAAACACAAAACGGACAACGGCGGGATCAACAACGACAGATGACTAATCACCGATTAAACCAAGGCCTATTATTTCATGACTTTAAGAAATCAGCCACAACTCAACAACCATTTTCATCGTTCTCGTCTTTTTTTATTAATTTTATTTTTACAGATATTAAAGAAATTTTAAAAAAAGTATAACAAGAGGTCAAGAACAATAATAAATAACAAATATTTGCTCTGATTGCTAGAGTTTTTCTCTTTAATGTCACAGTATTTCAAGTTCTCATTCTTCGTCTGTCAATAGAGTAAATTAAAATAGTAAAGAACAATTACAAGAAATATGAAAAATAGAAGAAATTCCAATGACAATAGGAATCACACCCAAGTAAACTACAATGAGTGTGTTCAAATTAATGTAAATATATTGACAATTGCAAAAATTGCAGTGTCGTTAAGACATATTTCGCTGTATTGTTGGTGTATGTAATTCGTTTTTATTATAAAAAATCTTTGAAATTGGCCCAAGACAACATAATATTTATAGGTTTACAACCCTAACGTAAAAAGGAAGACATGTTAATTACATGAAATTACATGAGATTAACGGGATTACACGAGATTACGTGGGATTAATATCAATTAGGAATCCTATCTAAAGAACGAGAATTCTCTCCGGATACTCTTCGTGGAGATCCCGGAGATCTTCAAATCGTATATTGTACAATCAGTTTTCGTTAGGTATTGTTCATATTTAAAATAATTTTTAATTTCATGATATACGATAAACAAATACAAGGATCCTTAGGATCCCCACAATCCTCGTTCAAATAATGTTAAGCAGCAGGTCTAACTTTGGTGGCGTCTTTCTCTTTCCGTCATGCCATTCTTGTCGTATAATTCCTTCCTTGTCTTATTAATCCCTTATCCCTCGTAACTAAAAACTAGAACGCACCGTTTGGTTTTCTTTTCTTTTTATTTTGTTAGCATATTATAAAATATAAAAAAAGAAGAGAAAAACAGAAGATGAGAGGTGTGAATTGTCAAAAGACTCGCAGGCAGTCTCAGTCGTCCCTCTTTCCCTATCACTTCACTTGGATCTTTGCTTTGCTTTCGCTTTTGTCTTTCCCTGTCTTTGATCTGCACTGCAATTCTCCCTTTTTCTTCCATTTCCCATTTTCCATTTACAATTGGGAATGGGAATGGGAATGGGAATGGCATCGGGATCGCATCCTTGATTGATTGTTTCATCCTTTTCTTTGAGACTTCATCTTTTCCTTATATTTATCCAATTTTAAAGAGACAATATATTGGTCACTTGAGAGTGAGAGTGGGAGTGAAACAAACAGAAGCGGTGGTGGTGGGCGGTCGGTGGTTCCTGGTGGCAGTCAGCGGCGTCTGCTGCTCCTGATTAGCTGGCACAAGGAGTGCTGGAGTCGCGCAAGAGTAATGAGCTTGTAGTTGAAAGAGCACAACACACACTGCTTTAATGGGGTCCGAGCAGCACAGATTCCCTCAGCAGGAGCTGGTAATGCTTCTCTCTTTCTCCCCTATTACCTCTTTCTCTCTCTAGACTCTATGTTCTGTTTGATTAAGAGAGAATAGATAGATACTGTCTTGACGCTGGTGCTGCTCTTTGATGGATGGGGGAGTGAGGAGAGGAGAGAAGAGTGTTAGATCTGGGGCCATTTTGCAGTGTTTGGGTTTTGTTTTGTGGGTGTCAGTGTCAGATCTGGGGATGACTTGACTTGATTTGCATTGTGTGGACGGATCTGCTTTAGTAAAATATAAGTTAGGATGTGCATGTTTCTTGCTTGCCAATCATTTTCCAGTTACAACATCATACCCAATTTTATCTAGCTGCGGTTGTCATTATCTCTCATATAATGCTAGTGCGTGCTTCCAATTTCTGAGTGTTGTTATTCATCAATTTCGAAATAATTTCTCCCATAGTTTGTTGCTTGGATCACAATCTATACCAATGCATTATCCCCAAAAAAGGGCCCTACAAAGTTTGATTTTCCTTATGCATTTAGATGTTGGTTGCTTTGCGTAGTTAAATGGAACGGATGCATAACATCCAGAATGTTTCTGAGTTTGTTTTTTTATATTTGAGACCAATTTTAAATCTAACTGATAATGCCCATTTGCATTTTTACAGAGAAAGAGATGGGGAGGATGTTGGGGTGCATTTTCTTGCTTTGCCTCACAGAAAGGAGGAAAGCGCATAGTGCCTGCAACTCGCATTCCTGAAGGCAATGCATCAGCAAATCAGCCAAATGGACCCCAAACAGTTGGCCTGACCAACCAAACAACGTCGCTGGCTCCTTCTCTTCTTGCTCCGCCTTCTTCTCCAGCATCATTTACAAATTCGGCCCTTCCTTCAACAGCGCAGTCTCCTAGTTGTTTCTTGTCTGCCAACTCACCTGGAGGTCCTTCATCCACCATGTATGCCACTGGGCCATATGCCAACGAAACACAACTTGTCTCTCCTCCTGTTTTCTCAACCTTCACAACTGAGCCGTCCACTGCTCCTCTCACTCCCCCACCAGAGTTGGCTCACCTAACTACTCCATCTTCTCCAGATGTGCCATTTGCTCGTTTCCTCTCATCTTCTGCAGACATTAAAAGTGCTGAGAAGGCCAATTACATTGCTGCAAATGATCTTCATTCAACATATTCACTCTATCCTGGAAGTCCTGCTAGTAGTCTCAGATCACCAATTTCAAGGGCATCAAACGATTGTTCATCATCATCTTTTCCTGAGCGTGATTTCCCCCCACATTGGGATCCGTCAGCTTCTCCCCAAAATGGTACATATCCAAGGGGTGGTTCTGCCAGGATGTTTGGGCATGACACAGCTGGAGCTTCTGTGGCATCTCAAGACTCAAATTTCTTTTGTCCTGCTACATTTGCACAATTCTATCTGGATAATCCGCCATTTCCTCATGCTGTTGGAAGGTTAAGCGTGTCCAAGGATTCAGATGTTTACTCTACTGGTGGGAATGGAAGTCAGAACAGACACAATAGAAGTCCCAAGCAAGATGTGGAAGAAATAGAAGCGTATAGAGCATCCTTTGGGTTCAGTGCTGATGAAATTATCACTACAACACAATATGTGGAGATTTCTGATGTGATGGAGGACTCGTTTACCATGACACCTTTTCCCTCTCATAAATTACCTACAGAAGAAAGTATGGAACCGACATCTGTCATTGAAGGACTAAAGGCACATAAGACAAAAACAAACTTGCAGAGTCAGGAGAGTCATAAATCTGAATCAGATCTTGATGAGGGTGGACGTTGTGACTCGCTCATGTCGTGTACTGGATCCGAAGGTGAACTGTTATAACTTTTATTTAAATGTCTCTATTTTTCTCTAGTTTTAAAATCAAGTAGGTAATGAAGTAAACAACTAAATAAACAAAGTTCTCAATTAAGAAAAGTCACTGTTTGACTGCTGGTACTGCTTTTTCAACCTGAATTAATCACAAGCCTCTAATCTATACATGTTTTCTAAGCACCGGATGAGGTATTAATCTCGTTTAAGTGTGATTCTAGTATATCTCTTTCAGCTTCATTCATGTACATCTAAATAAGTCCTATTCATTGATTGATTTCATTTTCGCCAAAAGAACTGGAATTTATGCTGTTGGTGCCTTTCACGCTTCTTTATCGAGATTTTGGAGGGGACTAGCATTTACCCTATTCATTTTGCAATATTTTTTTTTATTTTTTTTATTTTTTTTATTTTTTTTCCAAAGCGCCTGTTGTTGTCATGGGTGCTTTTGAAATGGAAGAAAGTCAAGGGCAGACATAGAAAAGTAATCAGGGCGAGAGTTCTGTGGGATGAATGAGTGTTTCATCTCACTTGAAGTCTCTCTCTTCCCCCTCTGGTTCCTCTTTTATTTTAGATAGTAATGTTCCTTTCTTGTATGACTCAGATCACAAATCATGGAGGCAGTCTGGTGATGTCTCTCGATCAAGTACGCCTGGAATCCGCATCATGGCCAATGAAGAGGAAATTTTTTCAAAGATGGGGTCTTCTAAATTGAGCAGAAAGTATCAGATGGGTCAATCTAGCTCAGATGCAGAAATTGATTATAGAAGGGGAAGAAGCTTACGAGAGAGGAAAGGAGAATTTGCGTGGAATGACTAAGAGTAAGCAATAAAGCGCATTATTAGTTGTTTCACGTGTGTTAATTTGATGTTGTGTTTTTGCTTACGTTTCTGTTTGGTGTTGTGTGATAGGTGGAATGATCTAACCGATTATGTAACCTGTTATTTCAATGGTGTGTAATCCGGTCTCTGTGATTGATGAATGCTGTTGCTGTATGTGAATGAAACAAATGGTATATGTGTTTGGTGAAATGTGGTTAGACACACACGCACACACACACAAACCCTTTATGCAAAGGGATCCCAATTTAAAAAAAAACAAAAGGGGATTAGGTGTGGGACCCATGTCACATCGAACTTTAACGATCCGAATTGTCTATTTTGTAATTCTTGATTCATAGATCATCCTTGCAAAAATTCAATTTAATCCAAAACCATTTGGCTATTTAATTATTAAGATAAAATTTCATTGTTTCTTATATAACAAAGTATTTGTTAATTTTTTGAACCCAATTAGATGTTTTAAATATTTCTGATTTAGCTAATATTTTGCAAGGATGATGTATAAGATGTAACTTGAAAAATACACAGGATCATTAAAGTTTGATGTGGTGTGGATCTCATAATTAATCCCTATTTAAAAACAAATGGAAATCCCTTTTCTTAAAGGAAAGATCCCTTCCATCAAATATATTCAATCAATCAATTCGAACTTTTGAAATTTGATTCAACGGTTACAAATAGGAGATTCATTTATAAGTTATAATAGCTTTAACCATTAGATTAAATTTCAAGGGCTTCGATTAGGTGATTGGATTGATTTGGTGGAAGGAATCTGGAGATGATCCTTTTCTTTTCTTAAAGGCTTCCTATATATAATTATATTATAGGAAACTTTAACGAAAAACTTTTGATATTGTTTATTTTAACAAAAAATTATATTTTTACACGAAAAAGTTAATCCTAATACTATTCACTTTATCCTTTATTTTGTAATTAAAACTTAAAGTCAATTTAGCTATTGTTCTACCCTAAACCATTTCGATGTACGTGGTCAGATAATGGGAGATATAAGGTCTTTTCGCTTTGAGTGCTGTGTTTTTTTTTCCTTGCCCAAGGTCCAAAAACAGAGAAAACTTGCTAAAGTAAGCTGGGAGGGCCGAATCAAACGGCATACAGATTAGGAAGATTATCAGCTATATAGTGTTTCCCGTGTAGTTATGCATCAAAGACGATTCCAATATTTTGTTCAAGTGTCTTGATTATGCAATATTGATTCTCATGCTTCTACTGTTTGTCTGGCTCGACCTACGATCATTTTCCTATGTAACTAATAACTATTTTGTTTGGCTATTACAACAATCTCAACCAATTTGTTCTTCCTGATTGGTGTTCTGAAGGGTTTGAATCAGAAATTGAATTTTGAAGGAGCTTATGATTTCTGGTAATGGTGTTGGGTGGTCTCGGAGTTATTCAGAGGAGCCTACGGCTGCAATAGCTCTGCCATATCGACACTTGTCCCGACCTTGTTGACACTTGCACCACGTCCACTTGCAGGTGTCAACGATAGTTGGAGGAAATAGAAAGAGTTTCGTTTGGAATCCTTATCTAGTATCTCTGACTCCTTGGTTGTCGAGGGTATTAAGATTTGGGGCTAAAGAATTCCAAATTTCCTATATGGACATGGAGGACTCGGGAGTCAGGACCATACACTCTATCCTTTCCTTGTTGCAACTAATGTGAGTTGTCCTCTGGTCCCTCGTAGATCTCATATATAGATGAATGATAGGTTCCAATTCCAGAAACCTATTCAACCTTAACCACAGAAGCAGGGTGCAGCAATGGAGAATCGCGAAATGGAGAAGACGAGTATTTTGTTTTTGTAGAAGTATATTTTTAATTCCTCATATCGTTGGAATGGAAAGTGGAGCTTTATATGATAGCCCGATACACTGATGTGAGCAGCCACGTAGGCAATAACAATCAACTATTAAAAATAGAACTAGAAGGAAATGCAAATTGCAATGAAACCCCAAACAATTACAAGATCATAACAATACTTTCTCCTTCAAAACTTATCTTGTCCTCAAGATTACACTGCACATTCTGGAAATCGAGCTTTAAATGCCTCATAATCCTCCCAAGTAGCATCGACAGCATCTTGTCCTTTCCACTGCACCAAGAGTTGTACCCCAGCAACCATCCCTTTCTTATACATCCTGCGATTTAAAATTGCAACAGGTTCCACCAATTGAAGACCATCCTCAGTGCTCACTGGTAGTGTGGGACTTGGGATCACATTGTCCCCTAGTTGCTTTTTAAGGCAACTCACATGGAAAACTGAGTGAACCTTGGTCTCTGGGGGTAATTGGAGCTTGTAGGCTACGGTTCCCACTTTTTCCAGCACCTTATAAGGCCCAAAGAAACGAGGTTGTAACTTGTGGTAACTGTGGGGAGCTAGTGACTGAAGTTGGTAAGGTACCAATCTTAAGTACACCATATCTCCTACCTCAAAATGTCTCTCAGTCCTCTTCTTATCTGCCTGCAATTTCATCCTATTTTGAGCCATTTCCAGATTACTCTTGAGCACAGACAATACATTATCCCTTTCTCTGAGTTTTTGCTCCACTGATTCCAGCCTTGCAGTGCCTTCATAAGGTTGCATAAGTGGTGGTTTTGTGGTGGGGGAGGGGGGGGTGTTGTTGGGGGTGGGGTATCCATAGACCAGTTCAAATGGGGAAGTCTTGGTTGAAGTGTGATAAGAGGGTTAAAGCACCACTCAGCCCAGGGAAGCCACTGAACCCATTTTCAAGGTTGCCTTCCCACAAAGCATCTTAGGTAAATCTCCAAACATCTATTCATGACCTCAGATTGGCCATCACTCTGAGGATGATATCCAGGGCTCATGCATAGCTTTGTCCCTTGCAATTTGAAGAGCTCCTTCCAAAAAGCACTCACAAAAATAAGATCTCTATCACTCATAATAGAGCTAGGCAACCCATGCAGTTTTAAGACATTGTCAATGAACACTTGGGCAACACTAGTGGTAGTGTAAGGGTGAGAGAGTGCAATGAAGTGTGCATATTTGGTTAATCTATCAACAACCACCATAATAACAGTTTTTCCGTGATAATTAGGCAGTCCCACTACAAAGTCCATACTCACATCATGTCATACTTGCTGTGGAATTGGTAAGGGTTGTAAGAGACCTGGTGATGAAATGGTTTCGAATTTGTTCTGTTGACACATAGCACACTCACTGATGAAGACTTCGACATTTTTTTCAGTCCCTGCCAATAGAAACCTTTCTTGATTTGATGGTAAGCTTTCACCACCCCTTGATGGCCTGCAACTGGTGTGGAGTGATGTTCTTCCAGAATCTTGTGTTTCCATTGCGATGAAGGGCTTAAAACCATTATTCTCTTGTAACATATAAACCCATTGTCAATTGAGTATTTGGCAAGGCTAGGAGTGGTGTTGCCCCTAGAAATGCAATCTGAAACTTCTTTGAATTTTTCCTTCACCCATTCATCCTTCTCATTATGTCTTCGAAGCTCATCTATCCACCCAAAATAGGGGTAAGAAATGGCCGAAAGCTCCACGGTACCATCATCAGTGTTTTTCCCCTCACTAACATGAACTTTTGATAATGCATCTACCACCAAGTTCTCAGCCCCTCTTTTGTACTGAATCTCATAGTCGAATCCTAACAACTTGGAGACCCATTTCTGTTGGAATGGTGTATTTGCCCTTTGTCCCAAAAAATATTTGAGGCTGCTATGATCAGTTTTGATTATAAAATGTCTCCTTGGAGATAGTGCTGCCACTTCCTGATTGCATAGACTATGGCAATAAGCTCCTTTTCATAAGTAGAAAGAGCTTGATTCTTGGGACCTAAGGCTTTGCTTGAAAAAGCAATAGGCCTGTTATGTTGCTGCAACACTGCGCCAATGCCCCCATTTGAAGCATCACACTCTAGTGTAAAAGGTTGGGAACAATTTGGCAAAGCCAATACTTGTGGTGAGGACATGATTGATTTAAGGCTGGTAAAGGTAGTGTTGGCTTCATCATTCCAAAGAAATCCAGTTTTCTTGGTAAGGTTATAAAGAGGTTGACAAATCCTCCCATAACCAGATACAAATTTGCGATAGTACCCAGTGAGACGAAGGAAGCCTCTTAGCTCCTTAACAGTTCTAGGTTGGGGCCATTCTTTGATGACGTGTAGTTTGGAGGGATCAGCAACCACTTATTGCCCAAACACAATGTGACCAAGGTATTCAACACTCCCTTGGCCAAAAGAACATTTTGACTTCTTAAGAAATAATTGTTGGTGCCTTAGAATTGAGAAAACCTTCTGCAAGTGACTTAAATAAGCCTCCCATGATTGACTGTAAACCAATATATCATCAAAGAAAACAAGTACAAATTTCCTAAAATGAGGTTTGAATATGTCATTCATCAGATTTTGGAAGGTGGCAGGGGCATTAGTAAGACTAAAAGGCATCACCAAGAACTCGTAGTGACCCTCATGAGTCCTAAAAGCAGTTTTCTCAACATCTTGTGGCTGCATTAGAATCTGATGGTATCCAGATCTTAAGTCAAGTTTGGAGAAATAAGTGGCACCAAAAAGCTCATCCAATAAATCATCAATAAGGGGAATATGATATTTATCCTTGATTGTCAATGCATTTAACTCTCGGTAATTAATACACATCCTCCATATGCCCTCCTTCTTAACCAACAAAACAGGAAAAGAAACGGATTGTGACTGGGTCGAATAAACCCTGCCGTGAGTAGTTCATGCACAACTTTTTCAATCTCCGACTTCTGCAAGGGTCTATAATGGTAGGGCCTGATATTTGGGGTTTTTGCTCCATGACATAGAGGTATATGATGGTTGTGAGGCCATGAGGGTGGAGGTTGAGATGGTAATGCGAAAATGTCCCCAAATGCATCTAATAAGGTATGCAAATCCTGCAACTGGTGAGCGTTGAGATTGCCAGCATCAAGTGGCGGACCCGCCATAGAATATAGAAACAGCCCCAAGTTGGAATTCGAGAGGTCTTTATCGATGTGTTGTAAGGATACCTCCTGAATCAATGGAGTGGCAGGTGCATTATGACACAATTTGTAGTGTTGATGATGCTTAGTAAATTCCATGGTAAGGGATTGGAAGTCCCAAAGTATAGGACTAATTGTAGATAACCAGTGAACCCCGAGCACAATGTCACAACCCCCTAATGGTAAAGAATACAAGTCAACAACACAGTAATAACCCCTAACATTCAAGTCCATTGCCCTGCAACAACCTGAACTTTTAAACTTGCCACCATCAGCTATCATAACCTCAAAAGGTTTTGTTGGCAGAGCAAGATATCCCCATTGTTTAAGCAATTTAGAATCAATAAAGTTATGAATACTGCCTGAGTCCATAAGAATGGTAACATAGTGGCCATGGATAACTCCTTGCACTTTCATTATGTGGAATGTTCGTTTAGCAGTAGTGCCATAGAAGGCGTATTCACTTAGTTGCATATGAAGCAATTCGGGGGGGAGCTCCTCAATTCCCCATCAGTGTCACCCTGAACATAGCAATTATCGTCCACATCAAGCATCAACAACTGTTTAAGCCCACATTTATGACCCGGAATCCATTTATCAAGGCAGAACCAACACTCACCTCTCTCTCGTTTTTGTTGTATTTCCGCAGGAGACAATTTCTTGACACCGAAGTTACCCGGCTTAGGTGGTGGATGGAGTGACGGAGTGGGTAACAGTGGAGGAGGTTTAGGGGGTTGGAAGGGTTTTGGGATAAAAGGTTTCAACTCAGTAAGCTTGGCATCAAGCTGAACAGCAATTGAAATAGCGTCATGAACAGTCATTGGTTTTAACAATTTCACATCGAATTTCAATTCCTTCTTTAGGCCCCTTAAGAAACAACTCTTGAGTAACACAGGACCTAAATCACAAGTACGAGTGGCCAAACGGTGAAATTCACTGATATAATCCTTAAAAGTACCTGTTTGGCGTAATTTGAAGAGGGATTCAGCACTGTCCTCAAATTCCAGAGGTCCGAATTCACGACAGAAGGCCTTTGTGAAATCCTCCCAATGTGGAGTGGAAGGGGTGCAATCTATCCAGCGAAACCATTGCAAAACCTCACCCTCCAAGTGAAAAGAAGTAGTGAGGATGCGCTGGGCATCAGGGGTTTGATAGAAGGCGAAGAACTGCTCAGCCTTATAGATCCAAGCCAACGGGTCGTCACCGTTCACAAAACGAGGGAAATCACAACGAGGAGACCACGGTGGTCAAGGATTGGAGACCCCAGAAGCAAGGATCTAGTCAGGAGGTGGATGGAGATGCTCAATCGCCTGCAGATCGGTGTTGGAAGAGACGACAGAAACAGAAGGACCGGCACCAGGAACACCGAATTGAAGTTCGCGGCGAAGTTGCTCGAAGTAAAGAGGGAGTTTATGATCGAAGGGGTTAGACACCGCTGAATCGATTTTGGAATCAAGGTTGGCCATGGAGGCCTCAAGGGCAGTGACACGACTATCCATGATGGAGAGTTGGGAATTGCTAGTATGGCGGGGCATACAACGGAAGGGAACCGGGATCGAGGAAATGGGTGATACTAATGATAGGTTCCAATTCCAGAAACCTATTCAACCTTAACCACAGATGCAGGGTGTAGCAATGGAGAATGGTGAAATGGAGAAGATGAGTACTTTGTTATTGTAAAAGTATATTTTTAATTCCTCATATCGTTGGAATGGAAAGTGGAGCTTTATATAATAGCCCGATATACTGATGTGAGCAGCCACATAGGCAATAACAATCAACTATTAAAAATAGAATTAGAAAGAAATGCAAATTGCAATGAAACCCCAAACAATTACAAGATCATAACAATGAATAGGGGAATAAGGCTCCTTCTTCCATGAATTCCGAAGTGGATGTTATTTTGTGCATCGAGAGTGATTGTAAGCATATTGAGTATCACAATTCACAATAAGAAAGAAAGTCTTTTAATAAATTAGCTAGAGACAAGGGACTACCTACAAACAAAGACTAAATATTTATAAATGGGATTTGATCCGGTAAGATCGACTTGGACGACTGAAATTGAACGCCAATTTAAAAGCACGCGTAGAAGAGTAATGTAATGATAGAGTGTTAAGTATGCACGCAGGGTTTTTGCTGATAACATCACAAAAAAGGGTCTTGGTTTGGCTTTCTGATTGCCATTTTGGGTGATCGAATTGAACTGGTAATAAAATGGCATTCACGACTACTTTCACTTCAAACACACACACACATTGCATTGTTGCAATGTGGAAGCAACAATGCAACGATGATAGACATTGAAATTTCAGTGAAATAAATATTGATCAATGTATTAAAATTACAACCTTTATTCATTTCACCTACATCACACACTCATTTCACATACAATTTCCACTAACTTCACCAACCTCACACACTTTTTTCACCTATATCACACACTTATTTCACCTACATCACACACTCATTTCACCTACAACTTCCACTTACTTCACCAACCTCACACACTTATTTCACCTACATCACACACTTACTTCACCTACCAACTCCATTTATTTCACCTACAACATCCACTCACTTCACCAAAAAAATGGATGGTGGTGATTCACTTTCAAAGCCTATAAATAGGCTTCTCCATCAAGAGAAAAAGAAAAAGGAATTGACATCACACCAAAACCTTGAAGCTTTGGAACTCTAAAGCTCTCAAGCAAATCCTGAAGGATTAAGAAAGTTCTATTCGTTCTTCGTCAAATTCTCCTTCAAGATCAAGCCCTGACGGACCCTTGAAGAAAGTGTTCATCATCCGTTCATCCTAAGATCAAGCCCTAACGGCCTTTTGGATCAACAACCTTAACAAATCCACACATCCAATCATTCTTCAAGATTAAGCCCAAAAGCCATTGAAGATTCTCTCATCCATCAACCTTTAAGATTAAGCCCAAAAGGCCCTTGAAGAAATCCGCACAACCATTATTCAAGATCAAGCCCAAAAGCCCTCCTTGAAGATCCATTCATCAACGGTTCATCCCTATATCAAGCCCCGAAGGCCCTTTGGATCAACAACTCATCCACAAACCCACACCTTACGAAGATAGAATCAGAGGACCAAATTACAAAGAGATTGTAACCCCAAAATCATTAATATAAAATATTATTTTTGTACACGTATTCTTGTTTCAGGAAAATTCGTGTTTACAAATTTGGCATGCCCAGTGGGACCTATGTACCTCTCATCTTTATCCTCAAATCATCAAAAAGCGCAAATGGCATCAAGAAAAGATCAAGCTGTTCCAGCAATCAAAGCAAAGAACAAGAACATCATTGCCGCAAGTGGTGATATTTCGGGCATCACAACCTGAAGCAAGGCAAGAGCTCTCTTGCCGTGGCTTCCGACCTTGCATTAACTCTATCAAAGGAACAAGAGCACATGAGGCACGAGCCTGTGATCACCCTAGCCTTGCTAAGGGCGCCAAGGAGGGAGAACCTGAGGAAATACCCAGAATCCCTACTCTCCGATGCCAACTCGAGTGGCAGTATAACTATGCAAGTCATGACCACTGGAGCAACTTCAATTGATGAGTAGCTAGCTTAGATGAATGAAGCAATCACAAATCTCACACGGACTGTGGAAGAGAAGGACTTGCAGATCGCCGCACTCATCAACCAACTAGATGCGCGGCTTGACGTGAAAGTCGAAATGTTAGTCCATTGAAGAAAGAAGTCGATGAAGAAGAGGAGCCTAGAGTGGAGAAAGTCGAAGAGAAGCTGAGGCTAGACCAAGCAACGGTATTCATAGGATCTCTCTCTATCCAGCAACTACAGGAGATGATCGCAATCACCATTAAGACACAATACGAAGGAAGTTCACTTGACTCCGTATTGTACTCAAAGTCTTACTCCAAGAATATTGATGCTTTGAAGATGCCAAGGGGTTATCAGCCCTTAAAATTCATGCAGTTCGATGGAAAAGGCAACCCAAAGCAACATGTCGCTCATTTCTTTGAAACTTGCAACAATGCTGGGACAGAGGGAGACTACCTCGTCAAACAGTTCGTGCATTCGCTGAAAAGTAATGCTTTTGACTAGTACACCGACCTCGAACCCGAGTCTATCAACAGTTGGGATAAGCTAGAAAGGGAATTCCTCAACCGCTTCTACAACACTCGCCGCACTGTAAGCATGTTAGAGTTGACCAGTACGAAATAAGGGAAGGATGAACCTGTTGTCGACTACATCAATAGATGGCGTTCCTTAAGTCTGGATTGCAAAGATCGTCTTTTTGAAACCTCCGCCACTGAGATGTGCGTTCAAGGCATGCACTGGGGGTTACATTACATCCTCTAAGGCATAAAACCGAGAACATTTGAGGAATTGGCAACTCGTTCCCACGACATGGAGCTGAGTATCGCCAATCACGGGAAGAATGAGCCAATCACTAGCTTCAAGAAGGATAAAGTGTTTGCCCCAAATATAGACAAGATTGGGAAGAAACCCGCTAAGGAAGCTTTCATCGTCAACACTTCCCCCATCAAGACCTCTTCAGCGCCCATCAAGATCTCCTCCAAGAAGAAAGCAAAGGAGACAAAGAAAGGTGAGCCTTCTCGCACCCAAGACAGGTACAAGAGCACCTTGAGGGAGCTGGAACAAAAAACGTACCCTTTTCCTGACTCCGACATGGCTGCAATGTTAGACGACTTGTTGAAAAAGAAGGTGATCGAGCTACCCAAATGCAAACATCCTGAAGAGATGAATCGCATAAATAATCTTAGGTACTGCAAGTACCATCGTATTGTGAGCCATCTTGTTGGCAAGTGCTTCGTTCTTAAAGAACTTATCATGAAGCTAGTACGACAAGGGCAAATTGAGCTCGACCTTGAAGACACGGCCGTAACGTATACCACTACAATTGCGTTTGGATCGTTCAATCTCGTGCCTCTCCAAGCGACACTTGACCATTCCCGTGAATGCTCAAGTTGCACGGCACCTCCTGCACAACCATCATCGGGGGGAAGCGACCAAGATGCACATACCAATGATGAAGGAGGATGGACATTGGTAACCTACAAAGAGACAAGGAAGCCAAAACCACGAGTCATACAACCAAAGGTGGAACAAAGAAGAAATCACCACTGCTGCAACAATGAGAAGCCTAAAAGAAACATAAAGGATGATACGACAACATATGCTGGGGAACCTATGAAGTAAGAGCCACGCATTCCCGTTTCCTTGCACGAGTACTTCCCGAATGACTTTTTCCAACAGTGCACTATCGTCGCCTGTCACATGGTTGAAGTAGAAATAGAAAAGCCTTCAAAAGGCAAAGTTATCGCCACTGAGGTAGAAAAGACCTTCACACCCGAATAAGGTTTGCCAACACACTTTAGCATCGAGGAAGCGCTACAATTACCAAAAAGGATGCGAAGAGCACTAGCAGCAGTCTTGGCAAATCCCGGCGACCACGAAGTGCAAGAAAGTAACGACGAAGGCTTGAAGCTTCAGCCACATGAATGTGCCACATGTTGTGCTGCTCATGATGTAATCAACTTCACTGACAAAGACCTACTGCTGGGATCAAAGCCTCACAACCGTCCTTTCTTCGTCTCGGGGTACGTAAGGGAACACAAAGTCAACTGCATGCTTGTGGATGGTGGGTTGGCCATAAACATCATGCCAAAATCAACAATGACCACAATCAACATCAAGGTGGATGAACTATCCCTGAGCCGTCTGCTGATCCAAGGTTTTAACCAAGGAGGACAAAGGGCGATGGGCATGATCCGAGTAGAGATGACCGTTGGTGAGCTCAAATCAAGCATAATATTCCACGTGATTGTTGTAAAAACTTCCTACAGCTTGCTCCTAGGAAGACTTTGGATCTATACAAATGGGGTAATACCGTTCACCCTTCACCAATGCTTAAAATTTTATCGAAAAGGAGTGAAGGTGATCCAAGGCG